GAAGGGGGGCCCGAGTGGGTTACCCTAAGACTCTGTCTTTTCTAGGGACTTTTATAGAGCAAAACGACGAGGTGAGGTGGGTCCAAGGTGGGGGAAAATGGACAAAACTATGGTCAGCCAGTAAGAATTGTTCAGGTAAAATTGATTAAATTGGGATCAAATGGGGAAGCGAGGCACATAGCAAGCAGGCATAATATAGAACAGGGGCTTTTCCTGTAAGGGGTTGGGTCAAGAACTCTTCAAGGTGACTGCTACCTATTTAGAATGTCAATCCCTGATGTCCATTCCTAGGGAGGTATATGGGTGCACTTGTTTAGTCCTTTGTCTTCAGGTGTGGCTCACAGCAAATACCTATCTTTCATGCTGGCTCCTTTGAGGGCCTGGCCCTGTCTGCCTGCCTATAGTATTTCTGTCTAACTCAGCTGCCTACAACAGGAGGACTTGTTCCAGTTAGGAGCCCATAAACTAGAGCTTTCATATTTTAGTGTCAGACACCAAGAGAATCAGATTGCAAATAAACAGCTTGGTTTTGTTTTGTTTTGAGACAGGGTCTCAGTATATAGCTCACACTGGCCTAGAACTCACTGTGTAGTGGAGGGTGGCCTGGAACTCACCACAATCCTCCTGCCTCCGCCTCCCTGCACACTAGAGGTGTGCACTGCCACTCCTGGCTTTGTTCACTCATTGAGTCGCGAACTTTCTGAGTGTGGTTACTGAGTTGACTTTGGTACAAATTCTTTCCCTGCTTCCAAGTGACAAGAATAGGCTAGTTTCTCCACTTTGCTGTGTCTTGCAACTTCCATGATCACCTTTCCCATCCATGGCACTTGATCTTAGCCAAAAGGCCAAGAAGCAATTTTTTTCCAACCACGGATGCAGTTGTCCTCACAACCGTTTTCCTGCTGGCCCATTAACCAGCTTCAGAATCTGCAGAGCAGAGAGGCTGTGCTTGGGTAGATTCAGCTGGCGCTGGAGCCCATTGTTAATCAGATCTCAGGTCCGGCTGAGGCTGACCTTTGGAACTGGGCTGCGGACAGCCCCACCCCAGGTGTGAGTTGACAGTTGAGATGTCAGCGCAGGGACCCCTTCTTCTGTACCAGGGACCCCTTCCTCCAGACTCTTCAGCACCTGAGATGTCGCCAATCCCTTTCTTTGCAGACAGTTTAACTTCTGCCAGGACCAATCAGGTCTCCTGACTATAGCTGATGTAATTTCTTTCTTTCTTTCTTTCTTTCTTTCTTTCTTTCTTTCTTTCTTTCTTTCTTTCTTTTTTTTTTTTTTTTTTTTTTTTTTTTTTTTTTTTTTTTTTTGTCTTTTTGAGGCAGGGTCTTGCTATGCAGTTCAGGCTGGCCTTGAGCTCACTTTGTAGCTCAGACTGGTCTCGAACGCAAGACAATTCTCCTGGCTCAGCCTCCCGAGTGCTGGGTTTACAGGGGTGTACCACCACGCCTGGCTAAAAAATTGAGTTTTATTATGGAAGACTGTTTTAATTGTTCTATTTTGTCGTTAGCTATTATTGTCAGCCTCTTACTGTGCCTGATTTACAAGTTACACTCCTTTGTGGGACCCATATCTGGAAAGAACACAGAACCCTGTATCCTCCTTACCTGTGGCCGCCCATGACCCCAGGGACCCTGAGACCTCGGGTGGTACCAAATTCCATAGGTACATATAGACCCAGGAGAAAGATCAACTCAGAAATTGGGCACAAGAACAGATTAACAATGATAACTGATAATAAAATAGAACAGTTATAACAGTACGCAGTAATAAAAGTTATATCAATGTCTCTTCACATTTTTTCATTTTTGTTTTTTTGAGACAGGGTCTCACTATGTAGTTCAGGCTGCCTTGAACTTACTATGTAGTGCAGGCTGGCCTCAAACTCATGGCAATCCTCCTGCCTCAGCCTCCAAAGTGCTGAGATTATGAGTATGCACTGCCATGCCAAGCTCTCAACATCTATCGCGCTGTACTTCTTGCAATGATGTGAGATGACACAATGCCTGTGGTGACCCGAAGTGAGACCAGTGGTATAGGCACTGTAATGTAGCCCCTTGCCCTGTTGATCTAAGTGAGTCAAGACGGGGCTGATTTAGCGCCACAGACATTGCAGCAAGAAGGATTGCACTTTGCACTGAGCTAATGTCTAGCCCTATTGTATTTTTTAATTTTGAAGCAGAATCTTGCAAAGTCACTAAATTGCTGTGTCAGGGCTTGAATTTGAGATCCTTCTGCTTCAGCCTTGCACAGTGCTAGGATTATAGGTGCATGCACAGCCACGCCCAGCCAGACTTCAGTACTCTTCTTAGTTTTAGGCAATCATAGACTATCTAGGAACATAACCCTCTCAAGAAGCTGTGTTTCACCTTCGTATTCTGAAAAGATAGCTCAGAACTTGTTATGTCATGGCTTCTTTGTTGTGATTTTGAGACACGGTCTTACTACGTACTTAAGGGTGGACTTGAAGTCACTATGTAGCCCAGGCTCTCCTCAAATTCCCAAGGATCCTCTTGCCCCAGCCTCCTAAACGCTGGGATTATAGGCATGTGCCCCCACACCCAGCAAGATTGAATTTTTTTTTTTTTTTTTTGGACCAAATTCTGATCCTCCTGCCTCAACCTCCCAAGTGTCAGGGTTACAGGTATGAACTCCCATTCCCTAGGTTCAAACAACTTTGTTGGCTGCCTATCTGAAAACTCCTATCTGACCTCTGCAATTATGCAGTTGTGCAATTCCATACATTGCACAAATGAGGCTACTTTTTTTAGAAAACTCCACAGTATCATAACACCTTCAATAAGATAACAAATGTAAACTGCCTAGTACCAACTCACAGGAAACAGAAGCTTTGCACCTCCTTTTCCTAGCCCTTTCACTGATATATTGTGGATATTTCAAAAATATTGTCATAGCTAGGTGTGATGGCACAAGGCTATAATCCCAGCATTCTTGGAGGCTGGGGCAGGAGACCAGTCTGGGCATTTTTTTTTTTTTTTTTTTGGTTTTTCTCTGGTACCGGGAACCGAACTCATGACCTTGCGCTTGCCAGGCAGGCGCTTTGCCGCTGAGATAAATCCCCAGCCCCTAGGCATTTTAGAGACCTAGCAACACCCTGTCTCAAAATAAAAAATAAAAAAGGTCTGGGGATGTAGCTCAGGGCCAACGCCTTGTTCGATCTTCAGTACCACCAAGGAGGGAAAAAAAAAAAAATCTGTCACCACCTTAAGAATTTCTGAGGACTTTAGCATCTCCGATGTCTGTCGCTTTAGATCCATAAGGTGGCGCTGTGGACCTGAGTAGTAGAACACAGGCTGGGCATAAACAGGGTCCTGAGTTGATCTTCAGCGCTGCCAGAGCACCTAACAAAACAATACACTTTTAACCTTTGTAGAAAAATTTTTGTTTGTTTCTTTGTTTGAGACAGTATCTAACTATGTAGCCCAGGCTGGCCTCAAGCTCACAGCGATCTTCCTACCTCAGCATCCCAAGTGCTGGGATTACAGGCATGTGCCACCACAACCGGCTTATAGCAAATTTCTATTCTTTATTATTGTATGTATGTATTTATTCATCTGTTCATTTGTTTGAAACAGGGTCTCACTATGTAGCCCAGGCTGGCCTCAAGCTCACAGCGATCTTCCTACCTCAGCATCCCAAGTGCTGGGATTACAGGCATGTGCCACCACAACCGGCTTATAGCAAATTTCTATTCTTTATTATTGTATGTATGTATTTATTCATCTGTTCATTTGTTTGAAACAGGGTCTCACTATGTAGCCCAGGCTGGCCTTGAAGTCAAAGTGATCCTCCTGCCTCAGCCTCCCAAGTGCTGGGGTTGTAGGCCTGTTTCATGACACTGGACAGCAACTTTCTATTCATGGCATAGGTTAAATTGTTTAGTTGGAGCTATTAAGCATTAGATTAGACCTATGAGGTCCATCTCATTCGAACTGGAAATGCATGCTGAAGAAACGTACCAAGACACCCTATAAGACAGGAGAAATCCCCGTTAGCACACGGACTTCAAGAAGTTTTGCTGGCTGTATCTATTTATTTATTTATTCATTTTTGAGACAAGGTCTAGGTATTTCAAGCTGGCCTCAAACCCATGGGGATCCTTCTGTCTCAGCCACCCAAGTGCCCGGCTCTTTCTTGGATTTTTTGGAGACAGGGTCTCACTAAGTACCCCAGGCTGGCCTTAAATTCATAGCGATCCATCCACCTCAGCCTCCCTCCTGCCTCCCTCTTTTGTGCGGAGGTTTGAACCATGGGCCTGCAGCGTGCTAAACACTTGCTCTACCAGCCCTGTGATGGCTATTTCTGAACCGGTGGCTGGAGTTTTAGAACAAGTGGGAAGGAGCCGCTTTGGGCCGGAGTGAGGAGGTGGTGGAGCGCGGGGCGCAGGGAGAGAACAGCGGCTGGCAGGAGCTGGGCTGACTGACAGGCGGGCCGTAGAGGAGCAACGGACCCGCACGGCTTGACGAGGCAGAGCTGATGCAGCCAATGCCCAGGGCGGGCGAAAAAGAACAGCCGAGTTAGCGATGTTGTTTTTGGCAGAGGTGCTGCGGGTGGTGTGAAAGGTCAGGGGAGGTTAGGGAGGGCAGAGGCTGAGGTTCAGCGACCAGCTCTGAGGAGGCACAGCTGACGGGGAGAGGGGCGCAAGCTCAGGACCTGGAAGGCCAGAGAAGCAGAAGCCGGGCGCGGCGGCGCACACCTGTAATCCCAGCACTCGGGAGGCTGAGGCAGGAGGGTCACCGCGAGTCCGAGGCCAGCCTGGGCTACAGAGTGAGACCCTGTCCAAAAAAGAGAGCAAGAGGAGAGAGAGGGAAAGGAAGGGAAGGGGAGGGGAGGGGAGAAGCGAGGGGGAATGAACTGGCTGACTAACACAGGCCAATGGCCGCGACAGCGTGCTGAGGTGGTGGGCTTTGATGGGACCCCTTCACTGACCACTGACCACCCTTCCCTTCTTTCGCGGAACCCTAAGGCCCTGAAACGCAAAGTGGGCCACACAGACGCGAGGCGAGGTTGAGCCGGGGAGCCCAGCTTCGGTGACAACTTCCTCCACTCCCGCCCCTCCTGCACGAGCCTCCTGGGTGCGCGCCCCGACGACGTCATCAGCCAGCGCCGCGCGACGCCTGTCATTCGGCCCCGCCCCCGCGGCGGACGGGCCCCGTCGCTGCCGGTCCCAGCTATGGTCCTTGCCTGTGCTTCGTAAGCTGGCCCCGCGTGTCCCGACGTGGCCTCATCATGGTGGCTGCGGCAGCGGCCCTGGCAGCGGCCGATCCCCCTCCCACGATGCCGCAGGCGGCAGGGGTCGGAGGGTCCACCGCCCGGCGAGACTTCTACTGGCTGCGCTCCTTCCTGGCCGGAGGTGGGCGCTGGCGGCGGGGCGGGGGCGCGGCAGGGCGGGAGCCGGCTGACGTTCCGGACCCACCTGCTTCGCCGCGACCCCTTTCTAATGATGACCACCTGGCTGGGGACAGCTGGGTCATGGGGTCTTGGGCTCTCGCAGAGGGACTGGCGACGGGGAAAGACTGAACCGGGCACCTGTTCTAGGACTGGTTAGCCAGGAGAGAGGGGGATCCCTGCCATGAAACACGCTGAACACCCCTTTTATCAAGGCCGTGCACGACAGAGTGTAGAAACTGGATTTTGCTATTTGCTTAATGGAAAACAAATATTGGAGACCAGCTTTTAAAAGATGATTGGGAAATTGTGCAAAATTGTCTACAACCAAAACTAGTTCCAGGGATTCTAGTGAACCGTGCCACAACTACTTGGCAAGCCCTAGCATTGATGTTACTGTGAGGCCAGAAGGTTCGCACTGTCGCAAAGCAATCTCTGCTTTCCCCTAAAGACGTGTGTCAGCCTCTACACCCTATAATTGCTTGACTGAGCTGTCAACACTTGTTTAAAACCAGGATTTTTAAAAAATCCACATTATGAGAAATATTGTAGAAATATAGTAACTAGACTCTAGGAGTATTAAGAATTTAATTATTTTGTCCTTCTGGTGATAAAAAAGACATTCGTTTATTCGTACTGGGAATATGAGTGCCAGCCATGTGCCTGCTTTTTGCTTGGAATACATCAGAGAACAAAACAAAGGTCTGTGGCCTCCTGGAGTTTACATTGTTTCTGGAACTTTGAGGGGAAAGACAATAAATAAAATAAGAAGGTAACTTGTACCCTGTGTTGGAACCATGCAAAGGGGAGATGTAACAAGCAGTGTGTGGAGTATTAAGTGGGATAGTTGTGGGAAGTCTGTCTCATTGAGAGGTTGAGATGAGCTCTTTTTTTTCTGGTGCTGGGGAGTGAAGCCAGGCCTTCACTATGAGCTACATCACCAGCCCTTATTTTTATTTTTCACTTTGAGATAAGATCTTGCTCAGTTTCTAAGTTGCCCAAGGTGGGCTGAACTTGCGATCCTCCTTCCTCAGCTGGGACCCAGGCATGCAAGATCACGTCCCCATTGAGCAAACGTTTGAAGGACTGAGGAAGTTTTAACAAATTGATATCTAAAGAGGAGCATTTCATGTGGAGGGAAAAGCTAAAGTAAAGACTCCAGAGCCAGCCAGAGCTTAGTCTGTTCAAAGAATGCCGCAGCAACCATGGCCAAAGGCAGGCAGTGTTGATAAGGGAAAGAAGTTATGTGAGGGGTTAGGTTAGCCTTGAACTCTCAATCCTGCCTCAGCTGCTGCTTCTTTTTTTTTTTTTTTTCCTTTTTTTCTCCTGTACTGGGAATCGAACTCACGACCTTGCACTTGCCAGGCAGGCGCTGTGCTGCTGAGCTAAATCCCCAGCCCCCTGCCTCAGCTTTTTGAATGCTGAGATTACAGGCAGGTGTCTCTGCTCCTGACTTTCACAAGCGCAGTATTGAGCAAAAGCAGCCAGACATAAACAAGCATACTGTGATTACATTTGTATAAAGTTCAGAAACTGTTGAAATGAAATCCATAGTATGAAAGTCAGAATAGTAGTCAGTTATCTCTAAGAAGGAAGGGTGGATAGTGATTTGGGAAGTATTGAAAAGGAATTTTTATTTTTGAGACAGGGTCTTGCTATGTAGTTTAGGCTGGCCTTGAACTCATGGTGATCATCCTGTCTCAGCCTCCTGATGTAGCAGAAAATGCCCTCCGCCCCCAGCCAGTATACTTCAGTCTGTTAGTTGCCCAAGTAATAGTTCCTGTTCTAGTTCCGGTTGCTCCTGTCTCTCTTTTTTCTTTTTCTTTTGTTGTTTTTGTTTTTGGTACCAGGAATCGAACTCACGACCTTGCGCTTGCCAGGCAGGCATTGTGCTGCTGAGTTAAATCCCCAGCCCCATCATGGGTGTTTTGGTGTTTCTGCTTGCTGTTGCACTGAGGGCCAGGACTACAGGCATATGCTACTATGCCTGGCTTATATTTAATTTTTGATATCTCAAAATATGCATTTTTTGTGGTAATGGGGATTGAACCGAGGATCTTTGCACTGAGCTATAACCCCCCCCCCTTTTTTTTTTGTCTTTTTTGAGACAGAGTCTCACTATGCAGTTCAGGCTGGCCTCGAGCTCACTTTGTAGCCCAGGCTGGCCTCGAACTCACAACA